TAGCTAACTGACAAAGCTGATTTTATTGCTAGAGACTTTATTTTCTATGATCATGACAATAGTCTCGAAGCTCTACTTATGAAAAATAAGTAACGTAGTTGCTTGTTATTTCAAAAATACGCTAGCTTCACTGACATTCCCATCAAAAAATGTGTTTGGGAAAAGGCCTGGCCTTCCTTGAAGTTCAAATCTGCCCTGTGACCCACGGGCACTCGTGGCAATGTGACCGAGCGGTTAACTTGTCAAGCTCACATTCTGCACTGTCATGGTTCGACTCCCGCTGGGGGTGTTGATAAGACCTGAACGAGGTCGAAACTGCAGTCCATCTTGGATAAAAACAACTTTTGGGAAGCAAGGCTACGTGGAATTCAATGGAAATGTCAGCTCTACTTATATCATTGTGGGAAAATTCTACTACCAGTCCTTCATCATCTTAAACAAAATAGGGCGAATATATATCATATAACTTCACTTACATACGAACAATTTAATTCAGTCACTGTTTACCAAGAAACTCTTATAAATATCTGTTCTGATTCACACGCAAATGTCAACTAGTGTGAAGAGTGGCTTTTTTGCATATTTCATTGACTCGTAAGCGGGCTCGCCCATTCAACGAAGGTATAGAATTAGTGGGACTATTCGAAACACTTTTAAGCTCCTTCAGAGAATATCTTTATAAGGGCAATTGTATGACTCTCTTCCAGATAAGATTTGCTCAGGAAATCTATTCATTTGTACAGGCTTGTTGCAATCAAAGAATAGATTTAATTAAGAATCAGTCAAACAAGAATTAAGGAGTAAAAGCAAGTGATTCGTTTCTCTAAACTTCTTGCCTGGCATTGCTATTTACTTCTCTGCCCAGGCATTGCATTAGAAGACCCGAATGAACGAAATAATGCTAAAACAGATTTATAAAGGATTCCATTACGAAATATCTCATAAATTCCAGTCTTCTAGTTTGCCTTCTAGTACAAATTGAGAACGCGCTTAGGATCGTTTGAAGCCCTGGATGGACTAGTCTTAATTATCTAAATGAAATATGGTATAATTACGCCGACTGGGGGTCCACGATTTAATGCTAATGTGGGTAAAAACTTTGAAATAAACACATGTTATCAAGAGAATTGTTCACACGATAATGTGACACCCTTAGTATTAGATTTTGCTTCCTTATTCCCTCCCTCACAGATATCCAGTCCCTGTTTAATCAAACGCGCAGCCTTCTAATTGCCTCTGCTGCCAATTTTGCCGGTTGCTTGCATCCTGGTATTGCCTCCGTCTCCAGCTCTTATCCTACTCATTTAGGTTCCATTCCTGTGCTAAGTCAGGTTAATACAACTGCTTCTGTCGCTGTATCTCATTCCTCCATTGTTAGCCCTACGGAATTTTTTCAGCAGCAGGGCTGTACAAACACCTTGTCTACCTACGGTCTCTTGACCTCATTGCATAAGCAGTCTCGTTCGCTTAACGCCCTCGAGGAAGAAAAGAAACAGATTAAACCTATCACCATGTCTCTACGTCTCTCAGCTGAGCCACATGAATACTCACATCTCCACCACAAACTCGACTTTGAGAACTCTCGCATGGCTCATATCTCAATTGCAAGTACAGATGGTTCAAATCTTACTGTATCGCAATCGTTGGGAGAAATTACAAGTAAAAGCCGGCTATTAGAAGAGCCTTACATTGGTTCAGTTAACAGTCCTGCTGATCTCGATTTGCATCATTTTCCTAAGACCTCTTCTGTTGCCACCATCTCTTCCATTTTACCTGTTGTCACTACTGTCCCATTCCACCCGGGGCTTATTTCCTCTGACATGAAACAAGTATTACTGCCGGTTTCGACTGACGATTCAAATGGCCCACTCAATGTGACGCTGCCAGTTAGTTCAGAGAGTGACATTACCTCATATACAGCAATGGCGCCACCCTCAACAGCGTCCCTACCAACTCTCATCGTCCAGAGGCAAATCCCTTCCTTACCCGGATGCACAGATAGCAATATATTACAAGGCAATGATAAGCAGTCAAAGCTATACACTTCACATTCATTTGATGCAAATGAGTCACTGATACCTGCATTGTTTAAGCAGTCTACTAAAAGATCAGTGAGCACAGCAGACTCATCGTCAATGCGAAACCCTTTAAATGGTCGGTTGCCCGCCATTTGCTTTTCACGGCAGCAGCCAATACATCGTCTGGACGAGACAAAAATCTGTTCAGCAGCTTCGAGCTGCATCAGCCAAGAGGTGCAACAAGAGTCGAGCAATCTTCGAGTACTTCCGATACCACCTGGTTTATTTTCTTCCACATCCGTCAATCGCTTAGGGGCTCCACTGGCCTCAAATGCTGATCTAGGTAACGACAGAACAGATTCTGCCAATACGTTGACAGGATATGTGCGGACCAGTGATACTGAGCAAGTTATTATTTTTGGTTATTTTTCCCAACTTATTTTTTATTACAACATCGTATTTTTTAACTATACTTTGTCTTTTCTTTTCTTTTCTTTCTAATTTAATGCACTAAAACTTTAACTCAAACCTCGGATCGTCAGCACTCTAAAAACTC